AGCAAATAAAGGAAATTGTCAAAAATACTCTTCCTCAAACACACTATGACATCAAAGGTTGCACAATACTTACATTCAAAGAAGACTTACCATTGTTAAAGGAAAAAATAACAGAGTATTTCGATAACTTCAAAGAGGAAGAATGAAAATCTAAGCTAATTTTATTTTTTTTTATAAAATTTTATCTCATATGAAAGAACATGAATTTAGAATATTCGGAACTCATGACAGAAGAGGAGAACGAACAGCATGTAAAAGATTATGCAAAATTTATGAAGACATACAAAGCATTTAAACAATATCTAAATGCTTCTAAGATTATGCAAAATTCTGAAGGTATATAAAGCTTATGAAAAAGCGTATGAAAAGTTTATACATTGGGGAATTGTTGTAAAATATCCATATGAAGACTAACCAAAAATATATTTTTGCTTAAATAGCTTCAGGGTCAATTTCTTCAACCATTTCACTTCCTTCGTCAATGTCAATTGAAGCTTCTTCAACCTTTGGTAAGAATTTCTGTATAACATCTTTGTTCGTTATTGTCTTCAGAGATGAAGGATAATATTTCACATTTGTTTCACCCTTCTTATATTCTTTCTGTTCGGAAAGATTCATAGCAATACTGAAGAAGTCAATGTTAGAGTTCTTTATGACAGTATAATGAGTATCTTTGACATTCACGAAGAAACTCTTTTTTTCAAAACTACTGCTAACTCTTGTGAAGTATAACGTTTGCGGTCAATGACGATAGCTAATGGTCTGACATACTGACCAAACTTAGATTCTTTCACAAACTTCTTGTTAAAGATAATATTAACATTTGAAGCATTATTGAACTCATTCTTGATGGCAGTAGCGAGAGCATTGTATGAAAAGAACTTGCAATCTTGCATGTGTTTCATTAAAATAAAAATATTAAATTATTTTGAAAAATAACTTAAAAAAATCTAATCTAATTTTTTCAAAAATATTTTTTTTATTTCCTACTAAAGATGTATCGGAAGTTGTCTAAGTTAGAACACTCGGAAATAAAACAACTTCTTACAGAAGCTAATATAGATGTTGCAAAGCATTACGCAACAAACAAAAAAGCACTCGCTGACTTCATTAAAGACTATAATGGTGCAATAAGTTATGATAGAATTCATGAGTTCATAAAGCCGCAACGCGGCGAGGACGAAGTCCATGCAATAGCATTTCCTTTAAATGACGTTGCTATTGACTTATATCATAGACGTTCAGTACCTCATGAAGTAAGAAGAGAGATGTTTGACATAACAAATGCGAACGTTGGTCATACTCGTAAAGCTCTTTCGCATGAAGTAAGAAGAGAAATGTTTGACATAACAAATGCGAACGTTGGTCATACTCGTAAAGCTCTTTCGCATGATGTTCGTCAAGAGATGTTTGACATAACAAATGCGAACGTTGGTGAAACAAGAAGAAGAGACGACACACTGAAACAACAGAGAAGAGAGATGTTTAAGAGCGCTATAGAACAAGTTCGCAAAGCTAACGATGTCATTCGTTCCATTGACGACAAACCAAAAGAAGGTGAGAGATGGTTAAAGAAAGATGAAGAGAATAGGAAGAGAAATGTGAAGTCAGGCAATAGACTCATTGACTTTAACATCGAAGCTTTAGATGAACCAAACAGAGACTACTTACACAAACATTTCGGTAAGGTTTTCATGAGACTCTTAGAGAAAATTAAAATAAACTCACAACAGAGATGGATGGTATGTTATAAACTTGGTGGAAAGTATGAATGTTCTACGTTAAACCTCAATAATATTGGAACATTACTACATCAGCTCTTGAAGGAGAACTTTATATCAGAGATAGAAGCAAATGCCGCAGGTATTGTTGAAATGCACTATGACTTCTTCTTGACAAACATAAAGAATCTTACCGAAATAAAGATGTATGATTTAACAGAATATGAAGGCTTAACGATGTCAGATGAAAGAAAGGCAAACCAAAAAAGAGACCATATAGAGATGAAAGCACACTGACAAATGACCAGAAAGCCATTTTGGAAGCTCTTAAGCAAACAGGAAACCCAGCACTTATAGAAAGCTTTTGGAAAGATAATGGTGAAAAGAAGTTTTATAAGAAGAGAAGCGGTCAGTTCTGGAAGTATCTTTGCACATTACCTATAAATCTTGAACGCTACCAAATCTTCAATGAACTGAACAAAAGAACTGCAACACTTATGACAGAGGACAATTGTTTCGTTTATGCTTGCATTCAGGCTGGAGTAAATGAAGAAACTATTGACCACATGAGAGAAGTCATTCGTGTTAGAGACTTTCCTCAAAGTAAAGTACAAGAAATTTCTGACGCAACAGGTATATCATTTAATGTTACCATTGGTTATTTCAATGAGTCAAGACATAATGAAAAAGAGATATATACCAAAAGAATGCGAAACTGTTAGAACTATTGACTTACTTCTTGTTGAAGACCACTACATGCTAAATGAAAGATTACCAATGACAACATACTTCATTCGAAACTATAAAGAAATTCTCAAAGCTTGTGGTGGAATGAACATTGAGAAACAGATGAAGATTTATACAAAGAGAGAAGATAAATATGTAGTTCGTTATGATAGAACAACACCGTTATGGGATGTTATGAAAACATTGTGGAGTGCAAATATTTCGAACCTATTTCTTATGGAGAACTTTTCACATATACTACTGACTTATATAAACAGAACCTTGCACCATTTAAAGATTTGACATATGCTCCAAAGTATTGTGTACAACTGAAGAAGAAAGCAGAGTCAAAAGAAGTAAATAAAGCTAAATGTAAATTCATACCTGAGCACGTTTTCTTTGCTGACTTTGAGTGTAGTACGGATGGCTTTCATAAAGCTTTTAACATCTGTTATGACAGTGAAGATGGTTCAGTTAGTGAAAGCATTTGGGGTCAAAACTGTGCAACAGAATTTTTGGAAAGACTTCCTGACAAGAGTTTAATATATTTCCATAACCTCAGTTATGACATAAACTTCATCTTAAGACACATGACAGAAGTGAAAGGAACTCCCATCATTAAAGGTTCACGAACAATGCAAATAACTGGCTTATATAAAGGACGGGCAATTATTATAAAAGACTCTTACAGTGTTATAAATAAGAAGCTTAAACTATTTCCTGCTATGTTTAACTTACAAACAGGACCGAAAGAAGTATTTCCATATAACTACTACAGCAGTGTTTTGTTAGCAAATGACAACAGAACTGGTGTCATTTCTGAAGCATGTAAGTTTATCCATGATGCAGATACATTTATGAAGAACATAGATTCCATCAAAGGTTGCAGAATAGATGAAAACCACTTCGACTTAGAAAAATATAGCACGTTTTACTGCAAACAAGATGTAAGAATTTTAAGAGAAGGTTTTGTAAAGTTCCGCAATGACTTATTGAAAGATTTGATTTAAACGTTTATGACTACGTTAGTATTTGTTCTATTGCTAACAAATTGTTTGAGAACAGAGTATACTTCCCGAATGGAAATCTTTATGACCTCTCAAATAAACCAAGAGAATTTATTTCGAGATGCATTCAAGGTGGAAGATGTATGTTGTCAGATAACATGAAACAAAAGAGCAAAAGAAACTCATTGCTGACTTCGACACTGTTTCATTATATCCTTCAGCTATAGCAAGACTTTATACTTTAGAAGGTATTCCAAAAGTATTGAAGGATGAGATGTTAAGCACAGAGTATCTCATGAGACATTTATTCGATGATGACCAAAAGGAACCCATTGGTGAAAAGTTTATGTCTGGCTTCTTTGTTCTCATTAAGATAACAGAGATTGGTATACCCAGACACTTTCATTTAATAGTTTGCGACCCTGAACTAAATCCAGAACTTAACGTTCCAAGAAGTTCAAACACTTGCTGTCTCATGTATGTTGACCATATAACATTACAAGACCTCATAAAATATCAAGGTGTCAAATGTGAAGTGTTGCAAGGATACTATTACGATGGAAACAGAGATATGAGAATAAGAGATGAAGTAAAGAAGTTGTTTGAGTTAAGGTTAAAGTATAAGAAAGAAGAAAACCCCTTACAAGAAATTATAAAACTCATTCTGAACAGCATTTATGGCAAAACTATTCTATCTCCTATTGAGTCAAAAATAACCATAGTAAATGACAAAGATGCTATAAGATATGCTATAAGAAATTACAACCATATAGTGAAGTTCGAAGGTTTGGATGGTTCAGATAAAACTATTTTCAAGCTAACGAAAAGCATTTGCAGACACTTTAACTTCTGTCCACTTGGTGTTAATATTCTGTCTATGTCAAAACGTATTATGAATGAAGTATTCTGTACTGCAGAGGACATGGGACTTCAAATCTTTTACCAGGACTGTGATAGCATGCATATTTTCAATGAAGACATCCCACTGTTAGCTCAGGAATTTCAGAAGAGATACGGTAGAGAACTTATTGGTAAAACATTAGGTCAGTTCCATTCTGACTTCGCAGAAATAACACCTGGAAAACAAAGTTTAGCATACAAGTCAATATTTTGTGGAAAGAAGACTTACATAGACTTACTCACTAACGATTTAAATGAAGTTGCATTCCATGCACGTTGTAAAGGTGTAAAACAAGACGTTCTTGCTTTAACAGCTAATGAAATGTTTCCTGAAGCTATACAATGCTATTACAATGAAGATAAGAACATTCACATACCTGTTGGAACATATGACAAAGACTCTGAGTTCAGTTTAATGAAACTTTACAAAGCACTTTATGACGGTCAAGAGATTGGATTTGACTTATGTAAGTCTTCTAGTCCTTGCTTTGCTGAAAAGTTTAACTTTTCTATTCAGACTAAGACTTCATTCATAAGAAAGCTTAAGTTCTGAGGTCATTTATTTTTGTCAGCAGTGAGACATTCATGATAAAAATAAGCCGCTAGCGGCAAGGGCGAAGCCCATGAGGTCATATATTTTTGTCATTTATGTATAACCATTGTCTCTCTTAAACTTTGCAATAGACAGCTTTGTTCTTCTTCCTTCTACATCTGTAATGTTTATATAATCTTTGCTATACTGTCTTAAGACATTCATTCGTCTGTATTGAGTTCCCATGAAATAGTAAAAGACATCTTCACTTGGGACATAGTAGTAATTTTCTAACGTGTGATATGAGTATTGTATAATTTCAACAGCGTCTTCAGGAAGAGAGTCAACAATGTCAAACCAATAGCCATTTGAACCAGAAATATTTCTCATGTTTTCTCTTCTTGTCGTCCATCTTAAGTTCGAGATATGAAAGTCTCCTCTGTCTCTGTTTATATGGTCTACTTCACGAAGTCCTTCAGGGTTCGGAATGAAAGTTTCTGCAACTATTCTATGTTTCATCAGCTTGTGTTTGTTTAAATTTACACAAATATAACCATCTCCTTGGTCAAACTCACTAACAACTCTTTTATTGCTTATACGTCTAATTGATAAGGGTACTCTGAAAAGATTTCATAGTCATTGTCATGTTCGAGTGTTTGCCAATGTCCTTCACCTTCCATGCCTTTCACTCAAATAAAAATTTTCAGAAAAAATAAAGCTAGCGTAGATTTTACAATACTGCGATGGTAGAGTTTAAGAGTTGTGCTTCAATGTAGAGACAGTCCTTATGGTCTGGAGGCAAGAACACTGGACATTTATGGTCATGAGTGGAGAACATGTCTATCCAAAACTCACGATTGAAGCCAGTTAATTTATAGTATTTAGGGTTAGGAAGTGGTGAAGTTCTTGTATGACCAATGAACTCATTTTCAACTCCTTTACTTAAGTTTGAATATAATATAGCTTGCTTTCTATCCCAAATGCCAGGTGTTACAATCTTTGAAAATTCATTTTTCCTCGGAAGCATTGCATCATAATTGAAAACATTCTTAAATCATCACTTGGTTCGGAGATTTGAAATCTTATACGTAATGGATTTTTTTCTCTTTAGCGACTTCATTGAATGGTGAGAATACAATGAATTGACAGTCATGAGTTCCATCTTCATTTTCATTAAATTCATAATGAAAGTCTATAAGTTGTGGCTGACTACCTTCTTCTTTCAGTTGTGCAAGAAACTCACGTAAAGGCTGTAAAGTTTGTACTTCAATGTTGAACTTTTCTCGAACATCTCATTAAATGAAATCATACATTGCAACAATGTTGTATCGTCTTTAAAGTATTTGTATATGTGAATGTTTTGGGCGCTTAAAGACTGTTCGTCATTTTCTATCTCGACTTGAAGTATAAAGTCAACCTTTCTGAAAGCACGTGTTATATACATAGATGTTATGCCAATGTACTTCTCTTCATTTATGTTCACAATCCAGTCTGTTGGAAACTTAAACGTTACTCTGTTCCCCTTTATTTTGACGTCAGGGTTTTCACTACTGAACGCAACAGATAAAGGTATTTGTCTATACATTTAGTTCGGATAAAAATAAACCATTTACTCTTTCTTTGCTTCAGCTTCTTCTCTAGCTTTCTTTGCCAGCAAACGTGGGTTCTTTTGTCTTCCAGCAGCTAATGCAGCAAGTTGTTTTTCACTAAGTTTTCTCTTTGGTCTCTCTGGCTTTTGTTCTTGTTTTTGTTCCTTCAGTTCGGATAAAATTTGCTCACGAATTTCTTTCTTCAATGCTTCAACATCTATGACACCTTGGGTCTTGTCCGTAGGGCTTGTCTGAGTCATTTGATTGCAGATAAAAAACAAAATTAAAACTTTAACCGATGTAAAATGAGCTTGTCAAAATCAGAGCGAGAGTCTATTATATTAAATGACGCAAGAGGAATACAACATCCTTTCTATTACGTAAGTCAGAGTAAAGATGGTAAAATATACGTAAGAAAAAGAAAGGTACCATTAGCGAATGCAGAGAGCGACAACATTAAGGTGCATGGCAAGGGTGAAGTCCATGAAGTCCATATAAAACCTTCTGTTCAAACTGAGCCACCAAAAGAACAAGAAGAAAAGAAGCCAGATGTACTTTCAATAACGAACCAAGAGCTTATTGCAAAGTTCGTGAATTTCATTGAAAAACAAACCGAGTCAAAGAACCCTGACCCGCCAGTGAAAGAAGTTGAGACAAAAGAGAATGTACAGTTCATTGAAAATGTCAAGAAAACAACTTCCACCACGAATGCCAAGAAGAAGAGTGAGAATAATGAAGTAAATAGATATTTTTATCTGAAGTAAATACATGCAGAACGAACAGCTAAACGAATTTACTCCAGCAGAGCATATTCATCAGATTCGCTCATATTTCGATATCATAGACAATGCAGTTCAAATTGGTGACACTAATAGAAAATATTCTGACGCAAAGATTCCATCACAACCTGGAACTGCTAAAGATAACACATGGGTAACATTCAATCTCTCACCTCCTGGTGAAAATATGTTGGACCTTTACAATACATTCATTACGTATAAAATGGAAGGTCAATTTATTGTAGATAAAGAAATTGGTTCAGGTTCCAATAAAACAAACCCACCAGGATTTTGGATTGGTTTCGATGACGCTTTCTATGCAGTTGCTGGATATCAAATCCTTGCAAATGGTCGTATCGTATATTCTAAAGACAACGCAAGAGAAGAAGCATATATAACTTCAAACTCACAAACTACCGAACAAATAAAGAAAGTAGATGTTTTCTCAAAGACTCGACATGAAGATGTATGGAGTCATTCGGGAACATGCAGAACAGGACAAATTGTTAGTGGTCCAATTACAGCAGGAAAATCATTTGATTTTAAGCTTCGTTTAAGAATTCCTGTTAGAAAGTTTTTACCATTAGAAGCTATAAGATTTATTCCAGCTTTTGCAGGAAACATTCAGCTTAAAGTAAAGTTCAGTAGCGACGCCTTACAATGCACATCTATATCTGTAAATGATATCATTGCTTTCAATCCAACTCTTAAAGTTGCATTTGCTTCAGATTCAAATCCACCGACAAATAAATTTGTTCCATGGAATGAACCATTCACTATGATAACGAAGGCAGTAGAAGCTAGTGGAACAGTTACTATTACAACTGTAACCCAGCAACTATTTCGAACAAAGATGGATTTTAATGAATGTTTCATTCATTCAAAGTCATTCTCTTTAGACCCTAACATTTATACAGAACTTGTAGAACATTATACAAACGAGGCTTTATGTTTTCCTGTTAAAGTTATGGATTGGATTCCTATGGACGGTTCATTCTCAAAGAATACAGATAGTTCAAGTGCAACATTTACAGCAGCTTATACGCCTATTAATGTTAAAAGTATTTGGGCACTATTTAGAAAGAAAGACAACTATTATGTTAATTTTGAGAACCCTAAGTTTAAATATCTTCAGCTTTCCATGGGAGCTTATGGAAATATGCCTGCAGAACCTGAAAAATCATATGGACCTGTATTTTATGAAATGGTTGCGAACGCTTGCAATACAAACAATGATATGATAGGATTTAATGAAGATGTTATGAGGTCATTGGTGGATGATGGTAGTGTGGAACATAAATGGGATAGCTATGACAACACACATTTCTTATGTGGTTTTCCAACAGAAGTGGACTTTTGCTTCCAACAAGGTCAAACATCTACTGCTCCAATAACATACAAATTGTCTGTTAAAGGACCTATTGAACTAGCAACTGAAAACGTACCAAAGCCACTTATTGGATTTATGAGGGATTGTTGCTTTGCCATTCAGGTGCGTGCTAATGGCATCCCCATAATAAGATTAGATGACTATAACTTAGCCACGGACGACAGTGAGGAATAAAGGATGAACGTTTATTTTTAAAGCTTATAAATGAGTTCTTCATCAAGCTCTCGCGAACCTTCACCATCTATGAAACAAACTTTACCAAACGATTATGGAGCACCTATTGAATATTTCTTACGAGCTGCACAATGGCAAAGAGCAGTTTCACCAAGGTTAGGTGTTCCACCAGCTCCTGTCAAAAATAGCATTTGGTCAAGTCCTTATATAAGATATGGTCTCCCACTAGGTTTGCTAGCTACAGCAGGAGCAGTTATGATGTTGAAAAGAAATAAAGCAAATGTTATAAATAATACTGAAGTAGCTGAAGTTAAACAAACTCCAACACATTCGCCAAAACCAACGCCTTCACAAGCAAAACCTTCAATAACTCCTGAACCTATGGAAGTACAAACTCCTGTTCAAAAGTCAACTCCTAAACCGACTCCAACATTTAAACCAGAACCCACGCCTCAAATAAATCGTAAAACTCCTGCGTTTCCTTACTGAAAAAATAACGTTATTTTTATTTAATATTAAAATTTTTATTTGATTGAAATGACGACTAAAGTCACTGAAGCAATGAAACAAAAGTTTTTGGTAGAATACATTAAATCAGGAACTATTCCAGAAGGTTTTTACATTCATACTATGAAGGATGGTAGAGTTCAGTTTAGAAAGATAAAGCAACCATTAGATAAAGAAGGAATTTTGAGAAAGATTAAACTTCATGAGGACAACATTGCTGAACTTAAGAAGAAGTTAGAAGAGTTGGAGAAAGGAAGAGAGTTATAAAGTAATGAATTCAACGGGTGAAAAAAGAGGTGAAAAAACAGGTGAGATCTCACCACTTCACCTAAATTTATTTTTGCGCTATGTTTTCATACGTGTGAGGGTGGTGATATCATTAATTTTTAAGTTTATTTTTTATTTTATTTTTTATTTTATTTTTTATTTTATTTTTTATTTTATTTTTTATTTTATTTGGATGTAAATGACAGAACAAAAGCAACTCATACAAATCAAAACATATAACAAACATACATTTAAACATTTATTCTTCCTTCCTGAGCATAACATGTTCTTTCAAATACATCCGAGACCAGTTGACTTTTCATTGACTGTGTATAAAGATAGAAATAGTTATATCATTAAACCATACGATGACGAAGGTAAGTTATGTAAATTGTACGTTAAGAAGTTAGAGAAAGTTTATGGCTTCAAGTATGACTACAATAGGGTTAACACTGATGATGAAGATATTGAGGAAAATTTATGAGAACATTAGTGAAGTCGTTAGTGAGAACGATAGTGAGAACGTTTATTTTTTACATTAGTGAGTTCGTTAGTGAAGTGGTTGGCGGCTTTGTAAATATTTAAGGTTAAGTTAGTTTTTGCGTTCGTGTTGTAAAATATACGTTACTGGTTTTGTAAATATTTAAGGTTATATTGAGTAAGGTGGAACGCAGTGCCGCCGTA